TCCTTGTTTACAAATGACATGATCCTAAGCATAGAAAATTTTTAAGGACTCCACCAAAAAACTATTCGAATTAAAAAACATTCAGTAAAGTTTCAGGATACAAAACCAACACACAAAAACTAGTATCATTTCTTTTTTTTTTTTTTTTTTTTACAAGATCTCATTCTGTTGCCCAGACTGAAGCGCAGTGTTGCAATCACAGCTCACTGCAGCCTCAACCTGCTGGGCTCATCCAATCCTCCCACCTCAGCCTACCAAGTAGCTGGGACCACTGTACCTGGCTAACTTTTGTATTTTTTGTAGAGAAGGGGTTTTGCCATGTTGCCCAGGCTGGTCTCAAATTCTTGAGCTCAAGCAACCCACCTGCCTTGGCCTCCCAAAGTGCAGGGATTACAGCCATAAACCAGTATCATTTCTATACATTAATAGTGAACTAACTGAAAAAGAAATCAAGAAAATCCCATTTACAATAGCTACCAAAAAATTAGGAAAATACCTAGGAAGAAATTGAACCATAGTGAAAAGTCCCTAGGATAAAAACTATTAAACACTGATGAAAGAAACTGGAGACACAAATAAATGGAAAGTTATCCTGTGTTCACAGATTGAAAGAATTAATATTTCTTAAGTGTTCATACTCTCCAAAGCAATCTGCAGATTCAGCGCAATTCCTATCAAAATACCAATGACATTCTTCACAGAGATAGAAAAAAAAATCCTAAAATTCGTATGTAACCACAGAAGATCTTGAATAGCCAAAGAAATCTTGAGCAAAAAGAACAAAGCTGGAGGCATCATAATACCTGACTTCAAAATATACCATAAAACTAAAGTTAAAAAACAGCATGGTTCTGGTGTAAAAACAGACAGCTAGACCAATGGAACAGAATAGAGAACCCAGGAATAAATCTACACATTTACAGCCAGCTGATAGTCAACAAAGATGCCAAGAACACACATTTATTGAAAAGAAAGGACAGTCTTTCAATAAACAATGCTGGGAAAACTGAAAATCCACAAACAGAATAATGAAATTAAACCCTTATCTCCCACCACATGCATAAATCAACTCAAGCTGAATTAAAGATATAGATGAAGAACTGAAACTATGAAACTGCTAGAGGAAACACAGGGGAAATGCTTCATTACCTTTGTACGGGCAAGAATTTTAAAAATAAGACTTCGAAAGCACAGGAAACAAAAGGAAACAATGGGCAAATCAAACTACATCAAACCAAAAAGCTTCTGCACGGCAAAGGAAACAACCAACAGAGTGAAGAGAAAACCTACAGATCGGGAGAAAATATTATATTTGTAAACTATACATCCAACAAAAGGTTAATATCCAAAATATATAAGGAACCCAAAGCAACTTAATAGTAAGAAAACAAATAACCCTATTTTAAAAATGGGCAAAGACCTGAATAGACTTCTCAAACGAAGACAAGCAATGGTCAATGGATATATGAAAAAATGTTCAACATCACTAATCATCAGGAAAATGAAAAATCAAAACCACAATGAGATATCACGTCAGTCACTTCATACCAGTTAAAATGGTCATTACCAAAAAGACAAAAGATTAGCTTTGTTTGGACCTTTATTAAAAAAAAAAGACAAAAGATAAGCGTTGGCAAGGATGTGGAGAAAAGGAAGCTTTTGTATGCTGCTAGAGGAAATGTAAATTAGCATACCCATTATGGCAAACAGTATGGAGGTTCTTCAAAATATTAAAAATAGAACTACCATATGATCCAACAATCCCACTACTGAGTATTTACCCAAAGGAAATGAAACCAGTACATCAAAAAGATATCTTCCCTCCCATGTTCACTGCAGCATTATTCACTATGGCGAAGATATGGAAGCAACCTCAGTGACCATCAACAGATGAATGGATCAACAAAATGGATATATACACAATGGAGTACTATTTAGCGATCAAAAAGAACAAAATCTTGTCATTTGCAACCATATTGTTGAATCCCTGGAGAACATTATGTTAAGTGAAATAAGCCAGGCACAGAAAGACAATGCATGATCTCACATTTAGAATCTAATGAGAAAATCTCATAGAAGGAGACAGCAGAATGGTGGTTAACAGATGCTTTGGTGTTTGGGAGCAGGGGAAAAGGGAGACAGTGGTCAAGAATATAAAATTACAGTTGGATAAAAAGAATTGCTGGGTGTGATGGCTCATGCCTGTGAGCATAGCACTTTAGGAGGCTAAGGCGGGCAGATTGCTTGGGCCCAGGAGTTTGAGACCAGCCTGGGCAATGTGGCAAAACCTCATCTCTACAAAAAATACAAAAATTAGTCAGGAGCAGTGGCACACACCTATGGTTCCAGCTACTTGGGAGGGTGAGGCAGGAGGATTACGTAAGCCCAGGGGTTTGAAAGTGCAAGACATGATTGTATCACTGCACTCCAGCCTGGGGGACAGAGCCAGACCCTGTCTCCCCCAAGAAATAAAAAAAAAGCTAAAAACCAGAATAGGCAAATATGTAGAGACAGATATTAGACAAGCAATTGACTGGGGCCAGGAGATATATGGTGGGGGACAGCAGAATAAGTTAGGAGAGAAAAATGAAAAATGATTACTTGTAGTTAAGAAGTTTCTTTATTGAGTGATGGAAATGTTCTAAAATTGACAGTGGTGATGGTTGCACAACTCTGAAAACATACTAAAAACCACTAGATGGTATACTTTAAATGAGTGAATTGTGTGATATGTGAATTATATCTCAATGACGCTTTTTTAAAAAGTACTGAATTGTGTCTCTTCAAAATGATGGATGTTTTGCTAAATTGGCAATATACACCAAGAACATGAATGCCGTTAAACACCTTTGCCTAGTGGTAGAACCAGAATTCCAGCCCCAAGACTACTGTTGAGTCCACATTCTAGGTCCCCGAGAGTGGGCTCCTTCCCAGCAGGCACAGTCCCTCACTATAAACTCAGCCTACAGACCTGATGGCTAAGCAGTTCCCTGCTGGACCGAGGAAGGGCTGGAGTAGGACGGTAGGGCCACTTGGATGCTAGCCAGGAGCGACAGGAATGCGAAATTCTTAAGTGTCTCCAATATGGCACAGAATGACCTCAAAACTCAACTGAAGATGTGCCTACCGAAAGAATGTGGGGCCCTGAGCCCAGGGCAGGCAAGACATGGGACTGCCTTATTTGCCCTGGGGACAGTACTCCACAAACCACAGTTCTTATAAATCACAGCCAGTGAAAGTATGTCTCAAAATCCAGAAAGCTATTTAAAAAAAGATCTCCACACTTTGAGATGTTAGTCTGGAAATAAATTAAGTTTTCAAATTATATTCATTCCTTTAAATGGATTAAATTGCTATGTCTTGACCTGACAAAATTTTACCTTGGTAGATCATTCAATGAGGCAGCACCGTGCCCTTCTCTAAGTCTGTGGTTTTGTACCAACCAGCTCCTGTCATCATTTTTCACAGCTCTTTGAGGCGCAAAGAGGTGGAGGACTTGGTAGACACTAAGGAGGAGCAAGTTGTGATAAGAATCAGAAACAGACCCCAGCTTCTTGAGTCCCAGCTAAGGTTTCTTTAGCCACACTCTACACAAAGATAAAATCTTAAGCCATCCATTAAACTCTTCATGTGTATTTGATAATAAACATCATACAGAGTAATGGTTAAGTCACTAACACATTCTCTTTAACAGCAATTTCAGTTTTATAAAACTATTTTCAGCTATTGATTCATTTTGTATCATGAATTTTAAGTTTTCTCACTGTAGCTGGAATTAATTTCATTACAAAGAGAGGAGAAAGGGTTTAAAAATTAAAATGGTGTCTTCTAATTTTAAAATGTTAATTTAGCAAAATATTCCATCCTATTTAAACATTATTAAACATGAAAAGAATCATTCAAACACACTGGTTTTACCAAAAAACATGAAAAAGCCAAAAAATAAATTTTCATTTTAGCTAATCTTCCACTTCCTCATCTTATCCTAAGCAACTTAGGTCTCAATTTTGTAATGTGACATTATGATAATGTTTATGGATGGGTGTGTGATGGCTAATGCCTGAAATCCCAGCACTTTGGGAGGCCCAGGTGGGTGGGTGGCTTGAGCCCAGGAGTTCAAGACCAGCAACACAGTGAGACCTTGTGTGTGGTGGCACACACCTGTGGTCCCAGCTAGTCAGGAGGCTGAGGTGGGAGGATGGCTTGAGCCAAGGAGGTCAAGGCAGTGAGCCATGATTTTGGCACTGAACTCCAGCCTGAGTGACAGAGACCCTGTCTCAAACAAAATAAAGCAAGAAAACAAAAGATGTTTATCATGTCCAGCTCCACAGGACAATGAGATGTAATTATACCAGGAAATATGATGGATATGTTTCTGGGAGAATGAGCACATCTACCAGTACTGAATCAGCTTTGATATTCAGAAACATCAAAGAAGTACAGTCTCATCACTTAACACAGATTATACCTTGTAAGTTTCGTTTGTTTCTACTCTAAGTAGAAGGATCTTCTTTCCAGAATGACATATCCGATGCACTATGGAAGAAAGAAATATAAGGAATTACAACCTAAAACCAAAACTGGCCCCAGGAAGAAACTAATTGGAATGGCAGAAAGAGCTCCCAGCTAAGAGCTGCGTCGGCTGGGCCAGCTCTCCAGGCATCAAGAGGGGAGTGGGCCCAGGTGGGCTCGAGTCCTCAGCGAGAAAGAAAGACTCCAAATGCTGCGCTGTGACACCCCACAGTACTCTGAGTGACCAAGGCAGTGTCGGCGAGGTGACAGAGGCTGTCCTTTCTGTCACTGGGCTCTGAGGGACAGGAGCAAGCTAAGTGAACACACTGAAATGCAAGACCTACTGTGTGTTACACACCGGGCTGAGCTAGAGCCTCCGCCAGGAGGGAAAGTACCAAGCTCCCAGGCAATAGCTTTCTGAATTCTGACTACTACACCAAGTCTACTAAATACACGAGCATTTTCACAACATCAATGTGAAATTGTTATTTAAAGTCTGAATAAATTCTAGCTTTTCTTTTTAATGTCTTAAAAACAAAACAAAACAGCCATGAGCAACAGGAAGTGATATGTTTATCCAACTGTGTGTCATTCAATTAATTTTTAGTTGAGATGTTAGAGAGGGACAAATAAGTACAGTGTGTCAATGTGCAGTGCTGCGAGGACACAGACCAGTGAGTGGGAACACAACGTCTATGGCCTCTCCCATCCTGACAAAGTCTCTGCATGCCGCTCCAACCACAGGGTGCTAGGACAGCACAGGGTGCTAGGACAGCGCAGGGATGAAATACTGAAGGGAGACGTCCTCATGAAGCAGATCAAAATGCACCATCTTGTTAGTCACAATATCTGGGAAGAGAAAAGCCGTGATTTTAAAGCCCTAGTGCAGCACACACATTTTCATTCCTACTTTTCAGAGCAGCCTTCCCAGCCTCCACCTGTTTCAGGTGCCTGTCTTCCCTGAGGCAGCTGCCGAGGCCACAGTCTCTCACTCTCACTGCCACAGCTGAGGCTGCATCACCGCCCAGCACTGGCGGCTCCCTGCAGCGAGGAGAGGAAGAGTGAAACTGCCAGGCCCTTGGCAAAACACCCAGCAGGCTGGCTTCCTGGCAAACCACATTTACCCACATCAGCGTCCTTCTGCGGGGAGGAGCAGCTCCTCATCAGTGAGGAGAGAACTGTGCTCAGAAGCGCTGAGAGCCATGATCCCCAAGCACCTGGGACAGGCTGTGTCACACACTGCTGCATGGGATGGACCCCTGCATCTCAACCGTCCTGCCAATCCTGTGAGGGCCACGGCCAGCCACTGTGCTGCGTGATGGCTAAAATCCAAGGCATCAGGCATGCAACCAAGCAGGGAAGCAAAGAGCACTTGAGGGCGGGCAGGAGCACACAGTGTGACAACCACGGAAAGCTCGGGGAGTTGCAGCACAGCAGCCGAGGAAAGCACTCCAGCAGATGCGAGTGAGTGACAAGAAACCATGTGTGAGCAGGCTGCAGAGAGGCCAATCCCAGGAGACGGGAGGTCGGGGAAAGGACCGCAAAGCACAAGCAGGAAGACAAACGTTCTTTAGGAGAGGTAGTGCAAGGGCATGGGGAGGCAGAGACTGAGGGTGGCAGGACCGAGATAGAGGAGGGGACAACTGAGCCAACACCTGGAGGAGGCTGACACACACAGAAAAGGAGCTTTGGGAAGTTAAGGAGAAGGTATGAGAAGTTCAACCTAGGGTTGTTTTTTTTTTTAATTTTTGCTACATCACAATTTGCTGGTCCTCCTTTGTCTGCTACACTTGGGTACACCAAACTGAACGTTGAGAAGACATGTGACTTAGTCAAGCACCTTTGTTAAGAACTGTGTTCACCAGCCTTGGATTCAGAAGGTCCCCAAAATGTCAAGTTCAAAGACTGATGTTGTGCAGCACATGGGCCCCCCACATCCTATGTTTCCGCACTCTGCAGAGAGGAGGGGTATTTCACCCTCTCACCATTCAGTGTGTTTGTCAGGACCAAGAGTCTGGGCATTGTATAGGAGCTTGTGAGAAGTGCAGCCATGAGGCCCAGCCCAAACTATGAACATGGAGTCTGCTTTATAAGACCTCCAGGTGACCCCCATGCACATCAAGGTTCTGAGAAGCACTTTTAAGGACCCTGCACTACCACACAGCTCCCACTATGCTCAGCCCTAGAAATATGACACCATCTATGTCAAAGTTCCTTAAAATGCAGCAGAGGTGCCTCACCCTAAAACTCCCCATGATCTGGGCTAGCCTAGCTTCTCCATCTCTACCCTAAAGCTGCTCCTCTGGTGATTTCTCCTTCTGTGCCCATCACTCCAACTGATGCCTTCCCCAATTCCCAAACACCCATCGCCCCTCCCACGGTCTCTTCTGATTCTCTTCGTGTCTCTCATTCAAAAGGACTGGTCCTTGACATTGCCACCCAGGATGTCCTGTTCCTTCTCTACAGCACACTGCAGATCCGAAGGGGACGAGGTGCAGTACGGGGCCAACCTCATACTCAGCCTGGGAGCTATTCTACAAAACGTGGAACTTCAAATGCAGGCTGCAGTTTCTTTTAGGTTGCTGTGATTCTAGTAGTAAGGCGACAAAAATGCCTTGAAAAGCCGTTGGTAGGTAATGCCTTTCTCACGTGTGGTCAGTAGATGAAGAGGGCCAGAGCAGGTGTGTGACCACACAAGACGGGGCCCAGGCAGAATCAAGAGGCAACAACACTTAGCAACCAGCAGCCGAGAGACAGAGAGCGGGCAGCAAGCACAGGCCAGCAGAGCCACAGGAAGGAAACAAGGCATCACAAGGGAAAACTTAAATCCAAGCAAAACCGTGTCTGGGGCTCTGAGTAGGTAAAATGAACTGACCATGGAGAAGGTGGGATGATCAGCACCCATTCTCCCGACGGAGCCTCCAGGTATGCTGGCCAAATGAGGCGCACACAACCCATCTACCAACCAGTGTGGCTGCAGGTTTCCGGCCCTAAGAGAGTGCCTAGGGGTTGTTTCTCTGCTGCCACCTTTACGTACTTTGGAATCCAGGAAAATCTAAAAAACCCGACTGTCCTAGGAAGCTAAAGTCTACATAAATGAGCTTTTTCTTTTTTTTTTTTGCATTTATGAGACTATATGCAATCTGTTAAACTCGAGTTGACTGAATTATTTAAAATATGAAAAATAAAACAGAGAAGCAAACTCACTGCATAAGGCCTTTGTGGGATTTACTTGTTGTCCAGCAAGAAACTGTAGGAGCTTCCTAATATCTATGTGCACTTCAGCCATGTGTTCTGGGTTTCTGTCTTGAGAGGTGCTTTCAGAGGCTAAAATGACAGGAATGCTTTTAAATAGAACATCTTTGCACATATCAGGAAATCTGGAGATAATCAATGCATTTTACCTGAATAAATGATTCACTTTAGCACTGGTTTTAGCATCCTAGAGAAAACTTGTAAATGTTGTCATTTTTAAGCATTAGGTCCTAACTATTTAAACTACTATGATCATTTCCAGGGCCTCTTTATTTACAGGGGACTTGAAATATGACTCAATCTCTCTCTTTAGGTCAAAGAAAATTATATTTATTAGTATTCACTATGTATTTAAGAGTAAAAATATATACATTAACTAATACAAGGCCTGTAATTCCAAAGTGAAATTAAAAAAAAAAAAATCCTTTCAACTTCTGAGAAAGTACCAAAGATAAGTCCCATCTTGTGTTTATCAAAATAAACAAATGAATGACATCAGAATGAATCACTTTATACAATATTATCACAGCCTTAACCATATGGATTCCACTCTGCTGAAATAGGATGCTCTTAACTAGCAAGTAAAAGTTCCTTGTAACTCTATGCTAAAGTCTGTGTCTACATTCCAGCAAACTTGTAGTAACTTAATTCTAAAAGTGACTAGGGCCTATTTTATTGCTTCTGGAACACCTTGTATCATAAAATGACTTTCTCATTATCCACAGGTGTTTCTCTCGGGTCCTTTGCCTGCTTTCCTGCTCAGGCATCCCCTGCGACTGTACAGCTGCCCACTTTCCAGCCGTGATTCCAACCCCATCTTGGCTTATGACTCACCAAACTGTCTAATCGTCCTTTCTTTCCCCACCTACTGAACTGACTCCATCATCCCTAATTACCTTGTATGAGATGAGTGATCAAGTAAAACAGTCTTCAATCTGCTACACTAACTTCATACATACGGAAGTAACTAAAAGAGGAGAATATAAGAACAAATGTATCTACCCTTCTGAATCCATTCCAGTTAGGAGTAGAACAGGAATTGAAGAGCTGGAAGGGATCTTGGAGGTTATTTAACTTGAACTGAATTCTACAGAGGACAGAGACCCTGTATAGATCCCTTAGCCACTTGGTGGCACAGCCCCTCCCACTGGGGGCTAAGTGTCCCACTACGCCACAGCGAAGTGTAGTCCAATCTCAATTCCTTTGTTATTTCCCCAAGCATGAAACAAAGTCAACTGAATTTCAACCTTTTTACATGAGGAGATCTCAATAGGTAGGCTATCTGAAACAACTTAGCAAAAGCAAAATATAACTCATTAGAAAACTTACCTAATGGAGGATTTCCAAGATCTTTAAAATGAGTTGTAACACATACTAATTCGGTTTCTATTTTCAAATTCAATTCTCCATCTAGGTTTGCTTCAATAACCTGCAAATTAAGTATTTTACATAGTCTTAGAAAAGGAAGACAAAAGGAAAAAAACTCCATGGGCAGCAGCTTTCACGCAACCAGATGACAAAGTAACCTACAAAACCCCCAAACACCTCAGAGCACACTCAGACCCATGTGGTATCACCAAAAGAGAGAGGATAAGGCCTAAGAGCCAAGAACTCAGAAATCTCCCAAAAATCTTAAAGGGGAAATCCCCACGCCTGCCTCCCGAAATGGAGAACTCAGTGAAGATGTGAAAACAGGTGGAACTCAGAGGGACTTGCCAGGAGACTACAGCAGCACAAGGGCAGCTCCAGGGAGGGCTGGGCAGAGCTGATGAGCAGGAGAGTCCTGCACTGAGAAGGAACCACAGAAGTAAGAGCCTCAATTGAGCAGAATGGGCATGTTGGGCAAAAAAAGGGAATGAAATTTTAAATGATGGAAAAAGAGGGACAGGTCTCAGAAAGTCCTGGGAAGTAGAGAGGATGCATGTTTTAATATTTTATGGTTACAAAGAATGGAGAATTCTAGAATCACGAAGTTAGAAAACTATTCTGGTCCACTCCCACTCCAACAATGAAACTTCTCTTAAAAGAACCAGAAAAACTACCTACAACAGCAAAAACGAATGGATTGTGGTTGTCTTCTATATGATATTTGGAAAAAAGAAAAGCAGAAATTATAATACCCAAATAGCACACTTAGAAACCTAAAGGCATTCTGCAAACCAGATGCAGAGTGTAGCCTATTATTTTAAGACCAACTAAAAGAAACTAACAATAATAGAAGCTATGAAAGAACAACGTAAATCTGAATTAGGGAGGCTCAGACATGAGACAACCAGACAGCATGCACATATGAAAACACAGCTGACAACACAGGAAGTGATTAGAAATACAAGAAAAAATTTCAGAAATAGAAACTAGTTTAGAAGGAAGAAGACTAGAGCAAACAGGCATTACAGAGAGAATAGTAGGAGAAACCGGGACGGAAAGGAGAAAAATAAAATTTAACAAACAAAAAAAGAGATAAAAAGGATTTAACAGAAAATAATAAAGAAGATGATGAAGAAGACCCAAGCCCTCTGAGTCCCAGCAAAAAAAAAACAAAGCACTGGAAAAGAAATGCCATCAGCTATAGCTCAAAACGTTCCTGAAGTGAATGAAGAGTTGGGCCCACATGCTGAAAGGACACACTACATCTGGGAAAACTGACCCTGGATGGTCAAGACAACTGGATTTTTAAAAAATGGAAAAAATACCCACAGTATTTAGTCCCCACCTTCAAATACATAAATCCAAGCTGTGAAACACAATCAGAATGGAATCATCTTTTTGATAGCAATAATCTACACCAGCAGAGAATGCAGTACAGTGAGCCATACTGATATTATGAACCCGTGATAGCCAATGAAATCCTATTCCCGTGAGGCCTTCCTGAGTGATACGCTAGAGAACAAGCTTTTGAAAACCAAAAAAAAAAAAAAAAAAATGATTGGAAAAGCTGCAGCATAAACAGTATAAGCCTTATATTGATCTGTAGAACCAAAACTAAACAACAGGAGTGAAGGGGACAGAATATGTAATAATTTTATGCTTTGATGATGCAGATATAATATAACTATTACAAAACAGGAAAGGGGAAAATGAGAAAAGAATGTGAAAATCAGTGTCCTGTTTTTATAAAATATAAATAAACCAGCTGTTATATATTTAATATGACTATAAGGCCTTTAGAATCTCACGAGAACATAGCCATGTATTTAGAAAATAAACTCACATGTTGGAAAATGAAGTTTCCAAAGTCAGAAGGGTCTGGGGTTGCTGTCGGGTTACCAGGACTGAGGATGGCTGAGCCGAACTCCACACACCCAGGCTACCAGACTTCTGCCTCTCCCTCACATACCATCGGGCACCCCTCTTCTACTCCTGCTCTTGCCGCCCTGCGACTGTCTCCACAGGTCACAGAGGGCTCCTTTCCTTTGAAGCTCTTCTCTACCCACCCCAGCAACAATCAGTTCTTTTAATTGGATGGAACCTATAAATGAAGCATATGCCACAGTGTGGTCTGAGGTTATGCTAACCTATCCCGCACCTACAATGAAAGTTCCTCCTCAAAGAACCAGTACATATTTTCTCTTTATGCTGTTGCTATCTGCCCAATGTTAAAGCCTAAGAGGTCTCTGGAAAGCCTGTGTGTGGTCTGGTAGACAGCATTTTACCATCTAGTAATACAAAAGTGCCACCTAGCATCTAGTCTTACTTAGGGCCATTGCATCTTTATAGTGCCACAGAGAAAAAGCAGAGAGGGCACCCTGTCTTCACAGCTCTGTATCACTGTCCATGTTTACTGAATACAATGTAGTGTTCCTTGTTCTTATTCCTTAAAATTGGTGAACTCTGAATATTTTTCATTCCAGAAACAAAATAAAGTTTTTCTAACTTGGGTGGGCTCTTATTTCTGAGCTTTTGACATTAATAGAAAAATAGTGCCCCAAACTTACTTGTTGTATAATCTAGTACATTAACCTTTGAATGAGAAATACTTATTTTCAACCCTCTTCTTTCATTAATCCAAAAATATACTGTTATATTTCCACTTTCCTATACCTGGGACAATAGTTGACTGAAATAAAATCTATAAAACAATCTTTGTGAATATGCTGAACTGCTTACTGGGGCTCTGTAAGGCTAACACATGGCTTATGCTCATTTGTTCTAAACAACCACACATCCAGGATCTGTAAATTCCCACTGTTTTGAAAAACAATGGTTTTAGATATAAATAAATAAATATGTATTCAAAAATGCAACTTGCAACGGTCCTAGATGCACTTTAGGCTTAAATATTCTCGTGTTTTCTTCCAATTCCTAAAAATCTCAGTGACAGAACGTTAGGTTCCAACTCCCTCCATACCTGGTGTCCAGCACATGGTGGCCTTAAATCAATACTTATTGAAGAAATGAACAAACAATTAACTCTGTGAACACTGCTCAGTCATGTCTATTTTTATGATTCAGTTATTTGGAATATTATGCATACTGACACACTTGATTTCTTAAGTATCTGGGTAAGATCTTTCAATGATTTCCTTAATAACAGTCACCTATTGTTTATTGAATGCTGGCTATACTGGACGCCTAATAAAAATTATCTCTAAATTTATAAAAAGTAACAAAGCCCTGTCATAGCTGCACTGTTATCCCCGTTCGGGGTAGTATCCAGCACTGGGGCAGCACAGCCTGGAGCTAAACCCAGGTGTGTGGCTCCAATGATTCCCCTCTTCCACAGCATGACTCCTAAACCTAGACTCTCTGGGTTTCCATCATTAAGGTGACCCTGCAAAGCTCTATTTCTCAGATAACATTTGAAATACAATATAGCATGGCACTGATATGGTTTGTTTTGGCTCCGTATCTTCACCCAACTCTCGTCTCGAATTGTAATCCCCAAGTGCCGAGGAAGGGACCTGGTGGTAGGCGACTGGAACATGAGGGCGGTTTCCCCTATGCTGTTCTCATGATAGTGATGGAGTTCTCATGAGATCTGATGGTTTTAAAAGTTGCAGATTTTCCCGTCCTCTTCTCTCTCCAGCTGCCACGTAAGATGTGCCTTCCTTCCCCTTTGCCTTCTGGCATGACTGTAAGTTTCCTGAGGCCTCCTCAGCTATACAGAATTACGAGTCAATTAAACCTCTTTTGTTTGTAAATTACCTGGTCTCAGGTAGTACCTTTTATAGCAGTGTGAAAACGGATTAATACAGGCCCACATCACGAAGCACTGCTACTTGATATGGTCTGAAGATAGGCAGCATTGACATCCCCCAGGAGCTGGTCAGAAACAGAGCCTCAGCCTCCAGCTCAGACCTCCCAAATCAGAACCTGCACTTTAACCAGATCCCAGCAAATTCACACACATGGTAGAGTTTAGAAGCAATGTCTTAGAACATGATATAGATTCCTTCCAGTTCTTACTTCTTTTTCTGTTCCTGCATGAGTCACATACACAACCCACCCCATCAGTCACATCTCACATTTAATGAAAGAAGGAAGTGATTGGGCATCTCTCATGGGAAGGTGGACATTTTTAGTGTGTTTAGCCTACCCATTCTCCTTAATTCTGTTGCCTATTCAGATATAGAATTCTGGATACCCAGGAAGACCTCATTATGTACTTTGCTACAGTAACTTGATAACTTTCCATTTAGTAATTCCAGATTGTAGTAGCCACTCCACAAAATTTCTATATATTTTTTAAACTCCAAAAAAGAGAAAACAAAACACCTCTGATGATTTTAAGCTACTCTTCTACCTCTCTACTTTGCTGACTCATTTCCATTGAACAGAAAGAACAAACAAATGTCATCCTTCAATTAACTGCCCTGTCTTTTCTCTCCTGATTTTAAGCTACTCTTCTACCTCTCTACTTTGCTGACTCATTTCCATTGAACAGAAAGAACAAACAAATGTCATCCTTCAATTAACTGCCCTGTCTTTTCTCTCCTGGGCCTCTCTGAATTTCTCTGGAAGTCCCCAGGGTATCCCTAGATGAAGCCAGGCTGACAACTGGATCAACATCACTGCAGTCACAGGTGACACCAATGTCTGCACAGTGCACACTGCTTCATGGAAAACAGATTTTAAATTAAAATGAGCTCTACATAAAGTTATCAAGGTAAAGCTTTGAGTTAGACAGGCTCAAAGACAGCATTGCTCTTAGTGAGCAGAATTCTAGAAAACAAAACAGCTCAATCCACATTTTCTAGGCTTCAAAAAACTTTTGTGATTTCAAAGACCTCTTGAACCTAATTTTGTTCCAAATCCATATAACACTTATTGCTGCCTACTGAGTGGCAATCCCACACTGGGCAGCTGCGACACAAAGATGATTAAGACAGGGTTTTCCTTATCAAGAAGCCGGTGGTTCAGGAGACACTCCGAGATATTAGCAGGTGGTTTATCATGTACACTAGACAGCTCACCTCCGTGGAGGAGGCACTTCCAGAGGGGTGATGGGGAAAAGTCTGTGATGAAGCATGAGAATGGCTAAGTGCCTTCGGGGAAATGGAGAGAAGAAGCCATGTGCCAAATGGCAAAGAAACTGAACCAAAAAGAAGAGACATTGTGGGGGGATACCAGAACCCAACCTGGTTCTGCAGGGAGGGTGTGGCAATAGAACAGAATGTGGCTACAGAGGCGGCCTGGCACATAACATCTTCATAGTGTTATGAAGATCAAAAGTTTATGCTTCATCAGGTGGAAAGTGGTTTTTAAAAGATTCAGGGACATAACCAAGTGTGTTTTTTGGGGTGGGAGGGAGCAGGGGGTGGGCGGTAAGTGAAGGAAGAATTCAGAATAACCCCAGGTGTGAATGAGGATAATCCACACAATTCCCACCACTGTCACACAATGTAACATTTTGAGCCTTGTGGCCATAGGAGACTTTCACAAAATAAACAGAAAATAAACAGAAATATAAAAGTGCCCCCCAGCTTGGCATGAGATCTGCTTGGAATAAAGGGTGCTATGGTGTGGTAAATCTTTGTCCGTGGTTCACTGAAAGACACTTGACATGCAGATAGGACACTCCAAACTCACTGTCAATCGTATCAGTGACTCACAATAAAATACAGGCACACTAGCAGGTAAAAAATACAATGTTCCATCCGAAATATAAGGGGAAAAAGAGGCAGAACAGCTGAACAGATTCTTAATATACTGTAAATATAAACACAAGGGATTAAAGGCAAATATAAAAGCTTTCCTCAGTGAATGAGAGTTGAAAAATGTTAAAATAGGTTTCTAAATCCAACTAGCAATCTATCTGCAGGTTCTCAACACCAGGCTAGGACCACAGGAGTGGGAACTTGGTTAGGAGGTGCCTGCCTGCATGGACCACTGCAGGGTGAGCTAGAGCACCCACGCCTCAGCCCCCAGGGAAGCTGCCTTCCAGAGTGTGCAGCCCACGAAGCCCCACCCCATACTTCAGAGTTATTTTCTAAAGAACTTCTAACTTACAAGGTGACTGCTGATGTTTTTCATTTTTTCCACAACACTCTTCATAGTCTTCAAGACTGGTAAATAAATACTAACCTACAAAACCAATAAGAAAAATCACAAGTATTAAAAATATTAATATACTCTAGTAAGGACACATGCTCCATAACTAACTCTGGAACACACGCATGCTCAAAAACTACAGAGTACTATTTTAAAATTTTCTGAAATAAAGTTCTTTTAAAAATATAAGAAGAAAACCAATTCTATTTCACTATCTCACGGATGCTCAAGCAAAATCAAAGAATGGAATGCCTGACTCTGGTTACCTCAGCAACCACGTCCCTGTGGGCGTTCTTCTGGTTCAAGAAGGAATAGGGTACTTCGGCTGAGATGCTCCTGTATTGGTCTAGGGGGAAGAAAACTCAGGCACTCAGCAGGAGGCCTTCCTCTAAGGGACATTTACACCTAGGATTCAGGGGCCTTTTCCATGCTCTGTGCAAAAATATGGCAGGCAGTCACCCCATCATACTTGAGTCTGTTAGCAAGCATGCTCTATAAAACACGGGCTTTTTCAAAATCAGCATAGATGCCTTCGAGTAAAAGTCAAGTAATTATTTTACCCAGCATACTTTTGTAATTTCTTCTTAAATAAATTGTGAGCAAGAGGCATTGGGCCCTTTGGCATCATCTTTACTTTCAGGGGCTCTAGGGTTAACCATCAGCATGACTGTTAACCCAAAACGTAAGCCATGAAATTCCTCTCTCCTTGGCTTCTGTGCACATCCAGATGCTGCTTCTGACAGGCTGAGGAAAAGATCAAGTCCTGCGAAACCCATATTGGTGTTGAAGGCCAAGAATACTAACTAATTGTCCGCCAAAGTATCATTTCAGTTTTGTTTTGTTTAAGTGATGTTACTGAGAGAGACGTTTTCTACATATAGGATAGCAAGGCATTTCTGTCATATGCAACATGTCTTAAGATGCTTTATGTAAATAACAAAAGGCAAATATTCTAATGTTTTCCTTAAGTATCCTTTAAAAATAAAATATACTGCAAGACTACAACTAAAATTAGAAAATTCTGGTCACGCCATTTAATGTGGGGTGTACAACAGGACTGCAGGCATCACTTACATCAGGATCTGGAACCATCGGCTCTTGTAAGTCCTTCCACAATTTCCTAGGAATAACCTTTATGGGGATGTCGTGTGTCGCAATGCGGCTACTGTTTGACATAGAAAACTGCCAAGAAAAGAATTAATCTAAAAATACTTTTACGTTAATATTAAACAACAACAAAACAAAACCAAAGAACCGAGGATAAAAAAGTTGACACGACAAATCTAAGTGGAATGTTGTCAATTTATTCACTCAAAAGCCATTCGACCAATATTGATGGTGCCAATATTTATGAAACATACTCAGGGTACTTTCAAGAACTGGGAAGTGTGGTGAATGAGACAAAAAGGTCCCCAATGTTCCAGTGGAACAAACAGATCAATAAAAAAGCAAACAAATGAAATTGTATAAAATGTTCATTAGAGCCATGAGAAAGCACAGCATAGTGACCAGGGTGAGTGTCGGGGGCTTTCCTTAGACTTGGGGGGTGACATTTCAGATACCACCAAAACCAGGAGAAGTAGCAGCCATGGGAAGACAGGAACAAGGGGACAGCGTTTCAGGCTGGGGAAACAGCATATGAAAAGCCGTGAGGTAGAATGAAGCAAGCCTGCTATGTTGAGGCAACTGAGAAGGCAACTCAGTGTGTTGCAGTTTCTAAACAGTTAAAATGCAAACTGTATTTATCTATTTCTAGGGGTGTCTGTGAGACTCACAGACCAAAAGATTTTGCACTTTTAGATAGAAAAGTATTACATGTTACTATCTTGCTTTTCCTTAAGCAATAGAAAAACATATCAAACTTATACTGTGACATGAAATATCCTAATTAGCTCTAAGAACTGCCTGACTGCAAAGAGTTGAGACTTATGAAGAAAAGCTGAGGAACCCTCTTCCACAGAAAGCTTGAGACTAAATATAATACTCACCCATAGATGGATAAAGCATATATAATGGCAAAAACCACAATTACCGTTGCACCAACTGGATACAATATATAAGGGGAGCTGTAAGAGAACAGGTGGCTGGGGCAGGGGCAGCATTGGTGCCGAGCACTAAACGAAGAGAAGTTTCAGAGTGAGAAAGAAACAAACTCCAAGTGGAAGCCCAACATCACCAAAGCCTGGGAGTTGAGAAAGAATGGGACACATCTAGGGAAACCACTCAGATGATCACAGTTTATAATTTGGTCCCTAAGATGGATTGGGCCATATGTGAAGGGCTTTGGTCATGTTAAGAAATATGAACGTCAGGCCAGGCGCCATGGCTCATGCCTGTAATCCTAGCACTTTGGGAGACCAAGGCGGGTGGATTACCTCAGGTCAGGAGTTCGAGAAGAGCCTGGCCAACATGGCGAAACCCTGTCTCTACTAAAAATACAAAAAATTAGCCAGGCATGGTGGTGGGCACTTATGATACCAACTACACAGGAAGCTGAGGCAGGAGAATTGCTTGAACCTGGGGGGTGGAGATTGCAGTGAGCTGAGATCGCACCACTTCACTCCAGCCTGGGGGAAAGAGCAAAACTCCATCTCAAAAACAAAACACAACAAAACAAATCAAAACAGAAATACGAACTTCATCCTGTGAGTAGGAAGAGCAACTCTGTGTTGTATGTGTACACATGAGTTTGTGTATTTGTGTGTTTGGAGGACAGCTGTGCACTCAATTCGTCTGGCAGTAGCATATAAAACATAGGTATACTGAAGAATGAGGGACCACTAAAGGCTATTACAGCAGATGAGGCAGGGTGGGAGTGAAGAGAAAACATGTCAAAGGTGAAAATGGATTGAAATCATGATTTCTAGACAAGGTGACAACACCACTACCAAGAAACAAAGAGGCTGGAAGTTTTATGACTTGGAAAAAGCAGCATTCTAGCTGAATGCATATGATCACAACACTATAAAACGAGGAGGAACTGACTCTAATGTAAAATATAGTTATGGACCAGATCTTTAAATTTAAATAAGCCAAATAGTTTTCAACAATATTTATTGTTATAAAGGCTAGGCTAACTACGTCTATTCCTTCGAGGCCAAGGTTTCTGTGGGAAATTTCAGAAACCCTGACTCTCCTACTCACCAGCTCGACGGAGACTGTGAGGCAGGGAAAGTGTTTATTAGTCAGTTTGATTTTCAAGGCTCTGGCATTCTGGGCAGTTTTCAAGGCTCGTGATAAGTTTTCCGATGTTAGCTCTAAATAAATCTCATTGTTTTCTGCAGAGAAACCCTCCATTTGAAATTCGCTGAAGAAGTTCTCCTAAAGGAAAAAAAAAGGGGGGATGAGGGAGGGCATTTGTGGTCTTTCCAGTGACAACCTGTAGCGTGTGCAGGTCTCTCAGAAGCTTTTGCTTACCTGTTCCAGCTCACACCACATGCTCACCCCTCCATTAGCCAGCTTGTCACAAAGGATGAAGTTAAGCTTGTCAGGACTGATGCGGAGGGTGCAGGTTTTGGCAAGCTTGGCTATCATGTTACTGATTCCTAAATCATGAGTTAAAATAAGGAATTACTAAAATGCACATCATGTATGCTAGACACCAACTTATTTTGCACAATTTCTTGTTCATCATGGTGCAACTTCCCGGTGAAAAACATAACGACTTACGTTAGTATCACACTGGAAAGTACTTTAACACCTCTGATGTCATGCAATTCTCCCAACAAACCCAGGGAGATGTACAGCACACACCTTCCGTGTCCTACCAGTCATTCGTTCATTCAACATAAACGTATGGACTACTGGGTACTGCAACACAGAGCTCAATGCAAAGTTAGGCACTGTCAGCGTAGAGGGGCGAATGGAGCCTTGAAGGAATGTCAACGCCTGATAAAGCCGTCTAGGGGAGCAGTGGCCGCTTTTTTAAAAAGCCAGGTGATTGGAATCAAGTTTCAGCAACGTCCCTTGAAAGCCGCCTTCATCCTTACGAGTCCCTACGGCCCGCCCCGCGCCCTCCCGCGGCTTCCATAAGCACCCCCATCCCGGACCCCACCCCGCAGCGGCCCCTTCCGACGCCCATCCCCGCTCTGATCCTCCCCCGCGGACCCCACCGCGCGCTTACTGCCTTTTTCCGTTCCTTCCCCGCTCCCCTCCTGCCTCCCTGCTCACGTGTGAAGTGGTTCAGACAGGCCCCGTCCACTATCTTGGCCCGAAACTTCATCGCTGCGCGGCAGCGCCTACGGGTAACGGACAAGTGTCTCACCCTGAGCGTCCCCTCCCGGAAACAGGGCGGCGCGCACAGTGGTTCCGCCCGGCTCGGGCTACGCAGCTCTTAGCAGGGTAGCCTCCGGGCCACGCCCCGGGGAAGGTGGGGCCACGGGTCACGCCCCACAGGAGGTGGGGTCACGGGTCAAGGATCTGGGGTCACGCCCCGGGGGAGGTGGGGTCCCAGTCTCTGGGTTTGCCTCCTTGCTCCGGGGCGATGGTGGGATCTACTTTTAATGAGGCAGGGGCTTCAAGCTCCTGATGTGGGGACGGGTTTTGAAATAATTTTGTGACACCTATTTCAAGTTCTATTCTAAAATATCCGAATAAAATTAATCGTTTATAAAGGTTAAACAATATTATCTCTTCAATATACCTCTCTAAGGTAGAACAGCTTTAAACTCTCCAATCTCAGATGACGGTACCGGTACTTCGGTGTTGAAGCATCTTGGTTAAGGTTCTGAAAATCGTTTTAAATGACTTTTTAAAAAATGGAACATATTACTGGCTAGTTGGTAAAGGCAAGATGCTTAAAGAACGCTGACGTTAAGTGATAATTCTGCAGTTTGTCTCAAGACGAACTTTACTACCTCCGATAAAATTCTTATTAGCATAAGTAATGTCATTAGGATTTTCTTTAAGGGAATACATTTTAAAAGGGGAAATGAAGCAACATTGTATCTAATTTGGTTTTTCAAAGCCTGAAGATCATTTATGTTAATAATTGTTATTTTTAATGTCCTTTGCAAGTAGGAGCCTAGAACCTTGTCTTTAACTTGACATATAGAATCAAGATAATGATAAAGGAGATTATTATTATTATTATTATTATTGAGATAGAGTCTCACTCTGTCTCCCAGGCTGGAGTGCAACGGCTCGATCTCGGCTTACTGCAACCTCTGCCTCTGGGTTCAAGTGATTCTCCTGCCTCAGCCTCCCAAGTAGCTGGGATTACAAGCGTGTGCCACCACGCCAGGCTAATTTTTGTATTATTAGTAGAGATGGGGTTTCACCAGGTTGGCCAGGCTGGTCTCCAACTCCTGACCTCAGGTGATCCACCCACCTCGGCCTCCCAAAGTGCTGGGATTATAAGGCGAGAGCCAACATGCCAGGCCCAGATTATTTTTAAAGTCCAAAATACAAAATTTGCAGTTTTTGCCTATCTTAAGACCATAACGTGAAGCTAAATTCTAATCTTCATTGTCACAGGCGAGTGTTTGCCAAACCAAACTTCATATATCACTTACAAAGTTATGCCAATAGGCCAGGCATGGTGGCTCACTCCTATAATCCCAGCATTCTGGGAGGCAGAGGTGGGTGGATCATTTGAGGTAAGGGGTTTGAGACAAGATGCCTAAACAGCCTGGGCAACATGGTGAAACCCCATCTCTACTAAAAAATACAAAAATTAGCCAGGCATGGTAGCAGACGCTTGTAATCCCAGCTACTCGGGAGTCTGAGGCAGGAGAATTGCTTGAACCCGGGAGGCAGAGATTTCAGTGAGCTGAGATCGGCCACTGTGCTCCAGCCTAGTCAACAGAGCGAGACTCAGTCTCGATAAATAAATAAATAAAGTTTTGCCAACATTTTTTATTTGCCCCATATGATCTGCAGGAAAAAAGCATGTTTTTAAAATTTCCTCATAAATGTATTTTGAAGAATTGAGCATCACATTAAATAAGGTGGCTGCTAGTAGATAAATGAATATAATTAAAGAATATATTTAAATAAACTTTGTAAACAGTATTTTGTAATAGCTTGATCTTTGCTGTAAATTGCTTAATTTTGTCAAACTTCCTAAAAAGATGTGATACTATACATTCTGCATTGACAAACACCAAAATAATATAGGAATTGACTCAAGAAATAGAAAATAAAGTTGCAGTTATCTTTTCTTGGAAGAAGAAAGAAATATTTTATGTGTTCTTGTAATATCCTTAAATAGGTTTAGCAAATTAATTCAATAACTCCAGAATTGACAATTAAACATATTGACACTACTTCTCTACTTTCCAAATGATTTTGGGAGAAGGAATGTGATCTCTAGAGATTTCTAGAAGTCGCGTGTACCACTGTGTTTTCTAATGCAATGTATATACATGTTCTTGTCTAGCTATAGTAAATAGCCTTCTGCTTTAAGAACTGCCAGACCTCAGGGGTTAGTTATTCAGCCACGCAATGATCTGGCAAACGGTGTTGATGCTGTTCATTAAGTTTGTTTACTGGGGAGGTAAATGCCTTAATCTTGTCTTAGAAACTGAATTAAACAGTGATGCAAATAAAATGTCAGTCAGGATGTATAGTTGGAAGTGAGGAAAATAACCTCTCTACAGCTGCAGATGGTCAACTCTATCTAGGTAAGCACTTGGCCAGTGTCTTTCAGGTACTTCCCCATCTTCTCTAGTCCCTAGGGGAAGAGGCAACAATTTGCAGCCCTGTTGTTAGCAGTGAAGGTCGGAAAAATTACCCGAGGGAAAGAATGTGACATAGCTCAGATGTTCCGCACCAAATTTGAAAGGCAGTATTTGTCTTCGTTTTTTAACATGAGAAAACTGTAAAATGAAGGAAAGCATACCCTGAGTGGCACGACTGAATGCCTTTTGAGAATTGTACTTGTTTTAAAAGATGGGGTTTTGCTTAAGCAGCTCTTCAAAGACTCTGCTCATCTTTTAGGTGTCAAAAAAATACTTGAATAAATTCCATAGATACTTTTAAAAATGAACGTTTGTGGAGCACATGAGAAGTGTCAGGCATGGTGGTGGGTGACGGGGATTAAAGCAGGGCACCGGCCCCCACTCAAGAGGAGGGGGATCAACATTTGTTGGATGCCTTCTATGTTTCATTTTCAAAGCACTATTTAAATATTGTTGATCACTAGGGTGAGATAGCTAGCTGTCATTTTATCGCACTGTACACTGATATCATCACTTACATAACATAAACACCCGTAAAATAAGCACTATTATTCCCATTTTATTGTATTTGAGATGGAGTCTTGCTCTTGTCACCGAGGCTGGAGTGCAGTGGCGCGATCTTGGCTCGCTGCAACCTCTGAGTCCTGGGTTCCAGCAATTCTCCTGCCTCAGCCTCTCAAGTAGCTGAGGTTACAGGCACCTGCCACCACACCCAGTCAATTTTTTGCATTTTTAGTAGAGACAGGGTTTCACCATGTTGGCCATGCTGGTCTCGAACTCCTGACCTCAGGTGATCTGCCGGTCTTGGCCTCCCAAAGTGCTGGGACTACAGGCATGAGTCACCACTCTCAGCCTATTATTTCCACTTTAAAGACGGGGACAGAGATAATTGGAAGTGGAAGTTGGCCATGGCATGCCCTACTTCACACTCTTGATAAGAATCTGCATCACTGGATTGCTGAGGGTCCAGTGACCCACGTGCTCCTGTTGACTGGACCAGCTTTATTTACACTTGACCTTCAGGAAAGCAATTGTTAATGTGTAAAGAAATGAAGACCAGGGACCGGGCGCGGTGGCTCAAGCCTGTAATCCCAGCACTTTGGGAGGCCGAGGCGGGCAGATCACGAGATCAAGAGATCAAGACCATCCAGGCCAACATGGTGAACCCCATCTCTACTAAAAATACAAAAAATTAGCTGGGCGTGGTGGCGCGCACCTGTAGTCCCAGCTACTCAGGAGGGTAAGGCAGGAGAATTACTTGAACCTGGGAGGCGGAGGTTGCAGTGAGCCGAGATTGTGCCACTGCACTACAGCCTGGTGCCTGGCAACAGAGTGGGACTCTGTCTCAAAAAAAAAAAAAAGAAAGAAATGAAGACCAACCAAATGGAACAGGCAAAGCCTGTTTATTCAGAGTCAGCCATCATCACTTGCATTTTGGCAGAGACTCAAAGGCAGGCAGAGGAGAGGAATGCTTTGTAGCAGAAAAGGGAAGGCTCAGGTGAGCCCTGATGGAGGCAGTTGGCCTAGGGAAGCTGAGGGGGGGGTCATCAGCAGGGGGGCGGCCCATGTGATTGTTTAGGGGAGCATATTTGCCTTTCTCTAGTTAGTCCTACGTTGCAAGCAGGGACAAAAATTAGGGAAGCTGCCAGTTATTAATCAAGTCCTGGCCACTTGGGGTGAATTATTAGAGGAGTAGTTTGGCCTCCTGGGCCAGTTGTTAGAGAGAGTTGTCTGACTCCTACACAGAGTCTGTCTCCTAGTTAGCGAGGCGGCATCTGGGCCGGTTACTGTAGAGAATGGCTTGGCTTTCTGGGCAGGTTGCTACAGATTGTGGGTCTGAGTTCTGTTTTTCTATATGCTCTGGCCATTGTCGATTTGCATATTCATTCTCTCAATAGGCTGCCAGCAATTTGCAGCTGGGATTAAAAAAATGGAAATGCAACTCAGCCGATTCAGAGTCCTCTTTCAAAAACTGGGAATAGGAACCCGGGGAATTGTAATAATTAGGGAGTGGGAAGAATATTGGTTACCTATTGATGTGTAAGACACTACCCCAAACATGTGACTTCGCCAAGGATTTAGGATGTTGGCTGAGTGATTGCTCTGCTGCTTTCACGTGGGCTTCCTAATGAGGCTGCATTAGGCTGAAGGTCTGCTGGGCTGGAAGGTCCAAGGTGGCCTCACTGACAGGCCCGAGAGTTGGTGCTAGGGTGTTGCCTGGGCACCTCGTTCTCCACCACGTAGTCTCTCATCCTCCAGCAGGCAAATCCAACTTCTCGACAAGGTGGTTCCTGGACAGTAGTTCAAGGCCAGGGTGGAAGCTGCAAGATCTGTTAAGGCTAAGGGACCAGAGCTCCTAGAACATTATTTTTGTGACAAACTACTATTCAGAGCAAGCCACAGGCCAACCTAGATACAATGGACTAGAGAAACAGATGTGCCTCAATTGTTATCAATAGGTAACTGATATACTCCCCACTTCCTGATTGCTGCAATTTCTCAGTTTCCTAGTCCCAGTTTCTTTTCTTTTTTTTTTTTTTTTTTTTTTTTTTTTTTTTTTTCAGAAATGGAGTTTCGCTCTTGCTGCCCAAGCTGGAGTGCAATGGCGCCATTGCAGCTCACTACAAC